TGACCTGGCTTGTCTTTTCATGAAATGGTTAAAATAAATCTGGAGTGTCATTCGCCACAGAAATGATCAGGCCATGCTGTGGAAGAACGGTGAGCCTCATACAGGGCCACAACTAGGGCAACTAAGCACAAGCAGGCGAGTTCTGGCTTAAATATGGAGCTTTCCAAGGAGGTAGCTGTCAAGTTGAGTGGATGCCCTGGGGAGTTGTAGATTCTTTGTCTCCAGAAATATTCAAACACAGTCTATGTAGTTATTTGGCTGGAAAACCAAGAGAGGCATTCTCCAGCCATACAACAGTGCTATTGAGCACCTACCAAATACATGTTCCATGCTGTGAAATGGGGGACACCGAGGCAAGTGAGATAATCAAGATCTCTGTCCTTGTGTAGTTTGTGAAACAGTAATGGATGCCGACAGTAAACAAATAATTAAATCATAGATAATTAAACAAGGCAAGTGCTGATTATGATCATTTCTCTGACGGAAATAAAAAAGATTGGGGGGCGGGGGGGTGACTGATTGACTGCGGGGGCAAAAATCAAAGTAGGTGGCATTGGAGCTAAGCCCTGGCAGTTGAGCGCTGGGAGAAAAGCACCTCAGCTTCTGAAACTATGAGTGTGCTGAGTTGACAAAGGGCTTGGTTTGGCAGAAGGAGAGAGGCCAAGCCGGAAGTATCGCGAGAGAATGGAGGACGAGGCTATGGAGGCAGGCAGAAGCTACGCCTGGGGCAGTTTTGTGGGTCTCAGAGAAAAGTTTTTGTTAAAGAGAATGAGATATCACTGAAAAGTTTGAAACAGGGGAGTCATGATGTAAAACTCTTAAACATAGGTGGTGTAGATGACCTTTGCATTTTTTTCTAAAGCTGAGGTTCTGTTATGCTTAGGTCTTAACCCTGTCGTATTGCACATACAGAACAGTTAGGTACCACACCTTTTGCTATTTGTTCTATTTAACAGTAGCTGGGGCGGGGGTAAGAACCAGTCTTGTGATTTACCCTGAATTGGCCCTCCTCATTAGTGCCTCTTTCTCATAGATGTATCTGTTCCTCTCTGAGCTGATCCTCTGCGCCTGTGAACCCTGCCTCCACCCCTACACCACTCCTTCTAGTGCTTCTCTCTGGTCAGCAATTTCATCACTGAAAACTGATTGGGCTCTTTCTCCTGGTCCCAACTAATTATTTTGCCTCATAATGGAGGGTCTGTCTCCTTTCTGTCACAATGGACTCTCCTTTTGTACCAATGACTTGGCCTGGACTCAAGACCATTTTCTCCCTTACAATCCATGAGACTATAGTCTCCTTGAGAGCAGGGATTATATCTGGTCCTCTATTGTATCTCTGTATTCCAGTTTTGGCACCTCTGATCTTTAAGTCTCTAAGAAATACTGAAGAATGAACGAATACTCTGACCTTGGGTAGCTTGTATGGACATAAAATCCTTCTGGACACTGGCTCTCCTCTCTGCACTCAATCCTATCATTCTCCTTCCAGCTTCTATATTGCAAAACACACTGGCTCAGTGCCAGTTAGATTCTCCCAACTAATTTAACCAGAGCTGGAACTGAGTCTTTTTTTTTTTTTCTCTCTTAATCAGTCAAGGCACAAGGTTAGGATTGTTTTCCTGAATTGTGGCTGAGTCTTAATTGTGATAAGTCAGAAAAAGCAAGTCCACAGATGCTCTGCATCATTTCTAGGATAGTAATGACAGTTTACATTCTTTGCGGCACTACTGCTTGCCAAACCCCATGCTAAGTGATTTGCAGGCATTGTCTCCTTTAATCCTTATTACTTGGAAAACATTAATATCCCCATTTTACAGATGAGGAAATAAGGCTTAGATAGGCCAATTTGCCCAGGGTCACACAGCTAACAAGTAGATCTGAAATTTTCAATATTCCTCTGAATGTAAATCTTATACCCTTAACAACTAGGGAAAAACATGTACAAAATAAAATTCATAATAGTACATCACATCTGAAAATGAGCACAAAGAAATGCATAAATTAACTGATGATATTGAAAAATGGATGTCATTATGGAATTCTCTGTTATATAATTAGATAGAATTTAATTTCTCTGTCACAAATTTTTCCTCTTCACCTCCAAAAAGTCTTGTGTATTCATAATATTTTACTAGCATATCAGACCATATTTTAGTTTATTTTTGGTAATCCTCAAGCATTTTAACAGAAGAACCTAGGAAAATTAAGAAGGCATAGAAAATAGTCCATATCTTATTAGATTTTAAAGGCCTCAAATAAAAGGTATGAAAAGAGCTTAAGAGTTCTCATATACAACTGATACGTATGGAGATCAAAACCATTTAAACATCTGCTGTATTTATGGAAGGTCTTAGGAACCAAAGCCAACTCATCTTCCAAGATTTTTTGAGTGACAATTCTAAAGTAACCATCAAAGCCCACATTTGAATATTTTCTGATTTAAAAAGAGACTATTTTTTAAAATGCCTGATGCTCCTGATGTTATTAGAAACACACACAAAAATACACGCATACCTGGCTACCTAGAAAACAAAAGAATTATAACCCAGGGCACTAGCCTGGTTTAAGGCAAAACTCCAGCTGGAAATCTTGTCAAAGAATAATAAACCTTTCCTTCAGTAAAACAGTTATCTAAAGGAACCCTGGCTCTAATGTTTATACTCACTGTCATGAGTAGATTGTGAACTAGTATATAATTCATTTAAGATGTAATGAGAATCAGAGAAAATACTTCTAGCAGGTTAGAAATGAAAATTAAGAGAATAAATGGTAAATATTTTTTTAGCCCATCTTAACTGGGGAAAACAATTACACAACTTGGAAAAATTATGAACTCAATTAAGAGTCCAACTTGCAGAACAGGTTACACATCTGTGAATTTGTGAATAGCTTAGGTTTACCAAGTCAGTGATTTTTAAAACACCTGTACTGACACTTCGGCATTTGTTTTATGTTTATCTTATCTACTCTTTTGGTTAGGAGGCTCTTTTAGGGCTCATGAGAAGTAGGAAAACCTGGGCATGGGTCATACTTTGAAAACTCTTACCTTTGTGCCTTTCAGCAAGTCACTTAAAGTTTCTGAGTCTCGGTTGCTTCATTTGTCATCTAGGGGGAAATAGGGTAGAAGCGTGGACTTTGTAGCCACACAGCCTGAGCTCAAATCCTACCTTTCCCACTGTAACTGGGCCTATACAAGTGAGGCCTTGGATAAGTTCCTTATTTGCCAGAGCCTCAGTTTCCTCAACTATAAACTTAGAGTATCACACCTAGTAAGACATCATGAAGACTGGAGAAAATATATGCAAACATTTGGTACTTACTAAGCTTTTAATAAATTGTAGCTACCAATGCTTGTGAACACATTTTGTAAACTGCATTATATATGTAAAGCATTATTATATAACTTGATTGTTTCTTCAGGTGTCATGTAGTTTCTTACTGACATGACTAAATCATAACACTTTTGCATTAGTCTGTATATATGAATATGTTTTCTTTTGTACATTGGAGACTTGTGATACTTTTCTGGTGAAATTTGTCTTGAGACTTATTAGTCAGTGTTCTAATAATGAGATCTCTGATTTTTCTCTCCTTTGCTGCTGCATTCCAGTCTGTAGTCTGCAGTGAGTTTTCAATCTATTCATTCATTTTTTTTTATTCACTCATTCAATAAGCACCTACGGAAGGCTTGCTGTATGATAAGATCTATGCTAAGAGCTGTACTGCAGAAGGAATTAGCCTGTATATTTTACTGCTGATGGTTTCATTAAATATTATGTTATTATTATAAGTTATTGCAGTAATACAGAAAACTTAGAAAATGTTATAGTTTATGTCAATTGTAATGGGAATTAAGAATAACTTTTGACAATATGTCACATATTTTCTAGGAAATAATTATATGCAGGCTCTTTTCCCAAGGGTTACTATATAAATAAAATAAATCCAAAGTATCTATGAGGATTAACCAAGGAACGGTATTTGAAAATGGAAACAACTCTTAAAATGATCATATTTCTGACTCAATATTGAATTATCTGTCAGGATGGATTCTTAAGGGCTTTATATCTAGAACAATTTAAAAATAGGCCACAACTGGAAACAAGAAATTGTTCTTCTGTTTATTTCCCCTAATGATCATAAGCCATAAACTATTTCTACTAATGGAAAAACAACACCTGTATGTATATATATATATATATATCTATGATCTAAAACATTTCCTTTAATAACTATAAACATAATCCATTTCCTATTATCATTATAAACATAATTCATTTTAACAGTTTTTGAGTGATTCCAATGTGCAGCAATTGCAAACTGAATGAAGAAAGTACAAGGTAAGTATAGCAGGAATCAGCAAGTTACTGCTTTCAGACCAAATCTGCTCCACCACCAGTTTCTGTAAATAAAGTTTTATTGGAACACAGCTTGGTGTATTTGTTTACATGTGATCTAGGGCTGCTTTTGTGACACACTGGCAGAATTAAGTAACTGATAGAGACGGTGTGGCCTGTAAAGTCTAAAATATTTTCTAACTTGTTTCCTACAGAAAAGGTTTACCAATCCCTGCTTTATAGTATTAAAGAATTTCCACACCAATTTTGCACATCAACACAGAAATTAAGGAATGAAAAGAGAGAGCTTGCTGTATATTTAGGTCCTTTTAGGTGTGTGCTCAATGCTTAGTGGACACATCAGAGGTAGGATAAATGATATACATTTGAGTAGACAAATTCTTCATGAGCAGTCCTTGCTGGGCTAATGCGCAACTGTTGCTCCACCTAACATAACAAAAATTCCAAGTGTTGTCCCAAGCCATCAAGTAAATGCCCACCAGAATTGTATAATCATCCTTTCTTTTAGGAGTTGGGGAGGTCAGTTTGCACCTAATTTTTGTTAGAAATATCGTGACTTTCTATGTATCTATAAGCATCACAGCTTATTTAATAGGAAATAACCATTATAATTAACATAGGGGGGAAAAGTCAGCGTGTTACCTGTGTGTTGTTCTTCAATCCACATCTGCAAATACATGAAGAGGAGTAGCCCTGCTACTCCAAATATCAGCAGCGAGAGGAAGACTTGTTTGGGGTTCATGACCATTTCAGATGGCTGCATTTCTCCTCATGTCTGAAGACCACATGATTTGTTTTTCCATAGAGCTCCAAGCCTCTCTCATTCTCTTAAGTGCTCATTCCATGAAGTAACCTAAAAATTTTTTAAAATCCACATTTTACTTTGCTGATGACATTTCTCCTCACATATGGTATAAATATGCAGCATATCAACAATGCTGAAGACTTATATGAACTGTTAACTCTCCAAAGACAGAAGAGACTAGTAGGAGTCCCTAAAGTGGGAATTTTCTATTGTATATCTTTGTCTTATCTAAGGAATGTATTACCCTACAGTTAGTAAGTAACACCCTAACATTTAATTAGGGGAAGTATGGGTAGATTTAAGCCGTCTTACATTGTGAAGAGTAAAGCAGGGTTCAGGTTACCTTAAAACGTTTGTGAGATGAAAGACAACTAACAGAATGGATTGCCGAAAAAGGGGTTTTGAAAAACATGTTCAAGGAATAAAGGGCAAAATCACTTCATGTCTTAAAATATATATAAAATTCACAAATAGAGGGTTCAATCTATCATTTCCCTCTCATGTAAAAGTAATAGATTTCTCCAACTTACAGGGTACATTTAAAATCTCCCAAAGAAATAAAAGGATAAATATTAAAAGGTCAGCGTTCAAGGGCGTCTCCCACAATACATGGGAGTACAGAATCTACCTCAGATTACAGAAATCTACCTCAGTAATAAAGGCTTACTTTATTTAAAGCAATATTATAATGACTTTGCTTTAGAACAATTTCCTTTAGTGTGATCTTAACCTTTTTTAAAAAGTCGTACCCACTTTTGAGACTCTAATGAAAATGTAAATGCCTCCTCAGAAAAATATAAACACACACAAAACCTTGCATAAGGTATCAGTTTGTTTATGAACCCTTACTGAAACCTGAGTTAAGAAGCTCTTCTCCTCACTGCCAAGCAAATATGAGCTCACATAGTTAGCCTGGTTAATGAGCCAAGGTCATGGCTTTGTACCTAATGCAAGCCAAAGACCTTGGCTCTGCTCCTTGATTAGAGAGCACACCCCCGCTTTGGATGAGATAAATAAATGTTTCCTCAATGTGAAGACATAACACACACTGCTAAGTCTAAAAATTCTCTCTCTTTTCTTTCCCCTCCATATATGCTATAAAAATTTCTAGGAGAATATTAATTTAGACTTTGTAAGAGATGTTTGGTGAGGTGCCAGATAAAAATTAAAAACTGCTATGGAAAACTGCTAGGCTGGTTAAAGGATACTATTTAGCTATTCTTGGCAAAACCAATTTTCACACAAACATTGGGTTTCAAAGGTAACCTATGAGGTCAGAATTAGAAGTGAATGTAGTTGAGTGACCTCCTGATTAGAAAAAATAAATTCACCAAATAATTAAAAATGTTTATGAAAAACAACAACAAAAGTCACATTATAAATACATTGTTTTCTTTATATTTGAACTAATATCCAAAGGGAACAAAGAGCAGAGTTGGTGAGCATTACCTGAGGAGCTTTCTCCAATCCACGTCACTGAGTCCTCTGAGGAAAGGGCAACAGTTAACATTTTCATGAGTGCTTTTAAGGATTTCAAGCATTTCTTGATTTTGATTGTAAGGGAAGTTTGCAAATAAGAAAACAGGCTGAGAGTATTACCATAGTGCTTGTTTGACAGGTGATACTTTGCTCTTACATTGATTCAAAACTAAAATACATGGGCTTTCCAGAAACATGCAATGAAACACCATTCCAAAGGAAGATTTGCAATTTGAGGTGTTGCAAGACTGAATCCCTCAAGGAAACCTACGGAAAACAAGCCAGCTTTCTCGTCTCCTAATGCTACAGTTAAACAATGAACAGATAATTCCAGGGTACAAAAGAAGATTCAGATAGGAAGAAACCAGTTAAGCAAAATCTGCTAACAAAGAAATGGTTGTTTACAAGAAGAAAGAGACTTTTACAGTCTGTCTACATAATTAAAACTTACCTCAGAAGAGAGAGAACACAAGAAAATGCATAAATCAGAACAGAGCCATAGACCTGTGGGAATGGAGGGTGTGAAAGTCAAAAGAAGTACTCCTTGGGGCTTTGCGGAAGAAAATTATTACCTAAGATGCTGGAAAAAGATTAAGAATTTGCCCTTCCTTTCTGCAGGAGATGTTGCTTTACTCTGACATATCCTCCTGGGTAAGAAGTCAGTAGAAAACCTATAATTGTTATTATGGCAGATGTGAGTAGGATTGAGTGATTAAAGCCACAAGGCAGAAAGGCAATCTGGTGTAAAACAGAGAGATTCGTTAGATTTTCTCCCATCTCAGTCCATTAACCCGACATTGGCATTAGGAAATAGCTCTCATTAAACAAAGGTGAGGCAGTAGGAGCAGCAGTATTGCTTTAAGCAAACCTGAAGGTCAGTTGTGATGGGAAAACACACCTATTTGGAGATCATACATCTACCTTTATGCCTGCAGAAAAAGAGCAGACTACTGGAGATTGAAATTACTTGGAATAATGCTATTTTATGTACAAGCATCATACATTTCCACGGCTAAAGGCTTCCTGTATTTTGTACAACTACTTCTTCTCCCGGCTCATAAATATATTGGGTTGTTGGAAAAGTCACGATGCATTTTTGCAATGAAAAACAACCTCATAGTACCTTGAACCTAACAGGTACTCAACAGTGATTGATTTATCCCTAACAATTATAAAAAGAAATATAAAAATAATTGTTTCACTCCATTATCTCTTCCTCAACACTTTAACAGTTATGTTTATAAGATTCTCAACATCACCAATCATCAGAGAAATGCAAATCAAAACCACAATGAGCTATCTCGCCTCATTCCTGTTAGAATGGCTAGCAACAAAAAAAACCCAAGAGGTAACAAATGCTGGCTAGGATGTGGAGTAAAGGGAAACATTGAGCACTGTTGGTGGAGATGTAAATCGGTGCAGCCACTGTGGAGAACTGTATGGAGGCACTTCAAAAAAATAAAACTAGAACTATCATATGATCCAGCAATCCCACTTCTGGAGATATATCTGAAGGACATAAAAACACTACGTCGAAGAAATATCTGCACCCTATGTTCATAGCAGCATTATTCACAAGCGCCAAGACACGAAAACAACTTAACTGCCTATAGACAGATGAATGGCAATTGTGATATATGCATATATAACGTTATTCAGCCATAAAACAGGAAGAAATCCTGCCATTTGAGACAACATGGATGGACCTTGAGGGCATTATGCTAAGTGAAATAAGTCAGACAGAAATACAAATATTGTATGATCTCACTCATAAAAAAAAAACAAAAAACAAAAGCAAAAACAAAGGCTCATAGAAAATCAGACCAGATTTGTGGTTACCACAGGTGGGGGGTGTAGGGGGGAGAGGGGGATTAGATGAAGGTGATCGAAAGGTACACACTTCCAGTTGTAAGGTAAATAAGTACTAGGGATGTAAGTACAACATGATGACTATAGTTAACACTGCAGTATGATATATATGGAAGTTGTTAAAAGTAAATCCTAAGAGTTCTCATCACAAGGAAAATAACTTTTTTCTTCTTTTTTTATATCTACGTGAGATAATGGATGCTAATTAAACGTATGATAATCACTTCCCAATATACGTAAATCATTGTTCTATATGCCTTAAACTTATACAGACAGGGCTGTATGTCAATTATATTTCAATAAAACTGGGAAAAAAACCCTTATTTTAAATAACTATGATTACTAACACAAACATTTTGGGACTTTAGTATAGTGATAAATTACTAGATGGAGGTAATTTATTTAAGAGGAAATTATGAGTTGTCCAGTTTGGCAGAAGCCTACGATTTTAGGCAGAAAGTTACGGAATTTTAGAAAGGTCGGTTTAGACCAAATTATGCAATGTGGCGTAGAAAAACTCCAGAGTCAAGGGACCACCTATCCTTACCCTCGACCTCAGCAGGACCTCCGCAGTTTTCGCCTTCTGCCTCTCCCTCAGCAACTGCACCATTCTCTTTCCAACCCTCTGAGCGACAGGAGACCATTAGGGATGAAACTCCTCAATTTATTACTGCCTCTCACAGTTTACTGTCATCTGTTCCAGTCCACACTCGTTTGCCTCTATCTCTGATGATCAGGGAGTCCTCGCTCTCGCCTCCATTTCTTTCAGGATGCTGTGAGACATGGCTTCGTCAACACCTCCCCAGCCTGGGTTCTATCCTGAATCTCTACCCAGTGACCTCTTCCATTACAATCCCTCTAGCAATTGCCCTATTGCTATCATTCCCAGACGAGCCTTCTAGGAAGACTATTCTGTCCTGACTGCTTCAGGCACCTATCTCCCAGCCATTTCTCAACCCACAGTGGTTCAGGAGGCAGGAAAAGATGTGATCAGGCTCAGGAGTTGTGTAGAGATTGAAAATTTGTAATAATTCCCGGTTTGTGGTTTTGCTTTTTTTCTATTCTATTCTAGTTGTGAGTTATAAGCATTATGAAAAGCTTCCAGTGACTTTTTCTTTGATTCCTTCCTTCTTTCCTCCCTCCCCTCTCCTTCCCTCCCCTCCTCTGCCCTCCCTTTCTCTTCCTTTCTCTTCCTTTGTGTGGTTGTTTCATTATGTAGACGTTTTAACTAAATCTTTATCATTTTTTCCTTCTTGATTTATCAGCTAGAGCCTGGGGTGGGCAGTGGGGGGAGGGGGTAGGGGAGGAAACATGATACACTCACTCATGAAATTATTTAGGACAATTTACAAAAAAGTGACCAGGGTTTTGGGAAACCAACCAGGGATAAAGCAGTACCCAAGCACAAGTGACAGCAACCACTTCTAGAAGAGAAGACACAGAATAGAGAGCTATGCCTGGAGCCTGGAGAAGAGGCAGGAAGGAGACGGATGGCTGATGGCAACTACTATCTATTGCGCAGGGACATAGACGACATACTGTAGCCAGGTGTCAAGGTAACCAGAAGAATCACTATCCCATCCTCAATTTCCTGATGTCCTTCAACTTCCTCAGGGGCTCACATGTAACAAAATCAATGCGGACCGGGGAGCCCTTTATGCAGCACATTCCAGGGACCCCCCCAAACCAGAGAGCAGAGG